GGCCTTATTTTTGTTGTAATACAGAGGTAGTGGAATGCTTTTTATACAAATCATCGATTCGTGTTACATGTACAGATGTTATAATTGTTGGATATGGATATCTTCATTGTATTCATTCCTTCATTGCCCACATGCTGTGAGCATTTTATTTATTGGGTGTATAAAGTCTTTAAAAGCCTGACAGCTGTGTATATTTGTTTTGAACTTTCAATTTGAAGGCGCCCTTGGAAGTGGTTAATATTTCGTTCAAAATACAACAATGTAAGCACAAAATGCTGTTCATGAATTGAGACTTCCAGGTGGGGGGGGTTTCCTAATTTTATTCAGAGCCAAATATCCCAATTAAGATTTTCAAAGTGAGATGCCATACAATGGCATTCCCTTTCGTGATGAAATGGGAAATTTATAGATTTCTTTATAATAATTTCTATGTGGATGAAAGGGTTTACCTAGTGTGCATTTAAAAAAAAATCTAATGGCCATTGTTTCCACTGATTAGGAACAAAATTGGAAAAATTACAACCCCCCCAGATTCATCGATAAATAAGTTATCACAGCACCACTGCACGCTAATCTGGCCCCTATTGAAAAGAGGTCAGCAGTGCACTGAACCAGGTTTGTGAACAAAAGACAGTTGTGTAACACCGCACAATCTGGGCTCTGTTTACAAGGCTGCAGGCCTGGCTGAAATATTCGGGCATCAATGAAGATCACCTGTCAACTTAGAGTAGTCCTAAAGATTACTCCGTGCGGCTATAAACGACCGTTAAATGGAATGATGAATTGTTGAAGGATTTTGAAAACGGAAAAAATGATAGTCATGCCAGCCCAGCATCATCAACGTTGAAAAATGCCCCTGCACGAAGTGGTTAAGTATATTTTGAAAATTATGATCTGTTGAAATTTTATCATTTCATGTAGTTTTCTCTTTGGGTTTTATTGTGTAATATTTGTAAAAAGATAAAAACAAAAGCAGTTTTAGCTTACAGCATCATGTAGACATTTCCATTCAATGAAGTCATAGTTTTGCATTTTGAAATATCCTTAAATTTCTTTTAAATTGTGGAAAATTAAAAATATTGCATAATTTACCAGTTGACTTTGTGGAATATTGAACTGTATCTGTGTCCAAGTTTGTCTCTGTGATGAAGCCCACCTAACTTGGATTGGGTCCTTTTTATCTCTGAGAATATTGATACATGTATGTAGAAAAGTTGAAGGTTGGGAGGAGTTTCAGATTTCTGGGGTAGTTTCTAAACTGTTGGGACTTTTACAAATAGCGCTAAGGCTGACTGGTAATTTCAAGGGTTAAGAGTGAGCCATCGCTAATGAAATGAGAAGTTGCTTTTGATCTACTGCTATCAGCTGACTTGGCTGTGCAAGGTAGAGGCCCTCTGACTGGTCACCATCTGGAGATTAAGATGTTACTGATATCAGCTGACTTGGCTCTGCAAGATAGAGGCCCTCTGACTGGTCACAATCTGGAGATTAAGATGCTACTGATATCAGCTGACTTGGCTGTGCAAGGTAGAGGCCCTCTGACTGGTCACCATCTGGAGATTAAGATGCTACTGATATCAGCTGACTTGGCTCTGCAAAATAGAGGCCCTCTGACTGGTCACAATCTGGAGGCCAAGTTACTGTCGGCATATTACAGAAACTCTTTATGCAAAATACTCAGACTGGTGGCAGTAGGGGTGTGGTTGGTATTTTTCCCCCTAAAAAGTTCCACACAGAGGTGAAGTTGCCCCAAATTAATTCAGTACCTAGAATACCGTGATAGTTGTGAATGCCTCTTTAAACAAAAGGTGTGTGTGTGTTTCTCAAGCTTCAAAATGTGAACATGAGAGTGGTTCCATCTCGGTCACAGTGGGAAGTCAGGTTGGCGTAGTGGTTCTTTCCTCGCCTTCCACCTCTGAGGTCCGGGTTCGATTCCTGGTTCAGTCCCCATGTGGATTGGGTTTTCAGTCCCTACCTGATTCCGTGTGTTTTACCCAGAGTATTCCTCGGGGGGTTTTCCTTCAACCTCTTAAACTGTAACTGCTTGGACTTTTCATTGTCTCCTCTCTACAGATTTCTTCAGGCTTAGAAGCTGCAATGCCTAGAGCATTTTTGAGGAATCCTTGTCTCAATACCAGAAATACATGTCATTAATGCTAATGGTGTCTCAAAGACTAGTCTCCGTGACAACGGATGGGTGGGGAATGTGACATAAGGTGTTACCATAGCCCTAACTTTGTAAAAAGCTATTCATGTAATTTTCTTATAAGGGCCCATCGAATACAGCTTTACTTGTCAATGCTAACATATTTTCATCAAGCATTCACAATATCAGTCAAGTGTTAAATTTGTGTTCACAGTTGATATTCAGATTAGGATGGGTGAACTTGAGCTTATTTGTGGGTGAAGTCTGCATTTAGAGCCAATGAACTTTGCCCTTCAAAAATAGCAGAACGCATTCTTCAGAGCCAACACCGGTGGTGATAAGTAGAGATTTGAGGGGGTATTAATAACAACATTTATTTGACTTGATTTCTGGGTGGTCCATATTGGTAACAAGTTTCAGTACAGCAAGAAGGGAAAAAAAGTTCGTTCAGCCTCTGAAAAATGGTGGCACTACGTTATCTTTTTTAAAGGGCTGAAAGACATCACGCCACCACTAATAGAGTTTACCTCCTTTCCATCTGAAAAAGGATTAAATCAGCATTCCACAGCTTGAGCAGCCTCAGGGTACAACATGTTTTAATGAAGAAAGTTGTGACCATGGAACAGTTGTGTAATAAAGACTAATAAAGTTTATTTTGTCAGTTAAACTCTGGTAAACCTTACAATGGACAACAAATGCATACAAATTAAACTCAAAGTCATTCATATAATTCCCTAGGCAGACATGGATTCCAGTTGGTTTGGGCTTACATCCATCAAAATACTCCAAGAATCTGGCAATGGGTACTATGCAATACCTGCATAGGTCCCCGTTCTCTGATTAGTGGATTATTTATCACGCCATTGAATTATTCGTTCTATTCAATGGCACCCTTTGACTTCTTTCACTTGACCAGTTCCAGCCCCATTTCATATCTCGTTCCCAGTCAGAGAGAGGAAAATAACGTAGGGACGGAAACATTGCAAGGTATAGTGGGTAGCGCTCTGGACACAAATCTGTTTTGCAAAATGACGTACGTTAATATGCAATCGGGACCTATTCTTGTATTCATATTTGTGCAGGTATTACGTAAAACAAATAATGGATGTTTCACATTCGTGCAATGGTAAGAACCATTTCATTCGGAGATGGATGAAATGTTCCATTCCACTCTGCCTTGCCTCGTGAAATGGAACATTTCACCTGTCACCTCATGCCATTATTCATACCAATGCACGCTCATTAACCCTAACCCTCCTCAATCCTCCAACAGGTGAAGGATTCAAGAGGGTTAGGGTTAACATGCATTATTCGCATTTAGCACATTGGGACTTGCTCAGTATGACAACTGAAGTACGTGTAGAACACATTCAAATCTTTGATAGGAAACTCATTTTTTACGTGTTCATGCATTGGTTATACATAAAAACATTTCATGTTCAACCTTGAATTGTGCCTACCCACGAGACAATTAAATTCACAACTCCCAAGTGATATTTTGCCAAGAACCCTTTTGAGTCCTCAAAAAAACCCTCCACTGGGTAGCAACTGAGGAAAGCAATTGTCCTTTGAAGTTTACAAGCATCAAGACCCAGGTAGAGTAAGTCACCAGGCGCCACCATCCTGAACATGGCAGACTCCCCTAAAGCTTCCTGATGAATTTCTAGAATCTGGGAGGGGGGGTGCAAATTGAGTTCTGGAAATATTTGTTTTGCATATTCTCTAGATAAAGTAAACAAATCACAGCATTCATGTGAGATCTTCATGAGCTGAGAATAGTCTAAAAAACAAAAAGAATCATTGGATTAGGGAACAACTGACAATCTATTCCTAAAATCCAAACACACATGGCTAGTTACAGGCAACTCATCAATCTTTTCCCTCGTAGAATTTGGATAAGAAATCTGTCTTGGGTGGTTTCTCTGATTCCTGGAAGTACCGCATAACGTGTGTCCGCTGTTTCCAAACTTGAATTGTCTCTTCCAGCTCCATTTTGCCCTGAATAGTTTTGAAACAAAAGCAAAACCAAAGCACAAAAATGACAAATCATTCACATCAATTGATCCAAAAAGCACCTAACCTAAATACAGAAATAATAGCCCTGATTCAAGTGGGTAAACTGGTTACCATGTACAAATACAGGTACAATGTACATCTAATATCTATAAATAGCTGCTTAACAGCCCTGTGGTTTAATCCAAATATAAACTATAACATCTCTCGCCAATTTACCATCACTGAAATATACATGTACAGTGCCTAAATAAATCCCATGATATGATTAGTTGGTCACAGGTCACATGCTATTGAATTAAATTCAAGTTAAGTTAAGGAAGTTATATTCCAAGGTCAAAAGAAATTTGTACACATAGATATGTAGTTGATATAGGAATTTATTTAGGCAAGGATTTATTCACATGACACTTCTGTTTCTTCTCTCTCTGGTCTGGATTTGTCTGGATTTACAGTCCAATCTCATTAATAAGAGGTCTCTCCGACTTGGTAAATTTCCTTGTCATAACATGAACCTTGAAGTATCAGGAATGAAAACAATGAAAAAGAAAGGATTGGGACTGAAAAATGTCTGTAGCATGAAATAGCACAGCGTCCCTTCATACTGTTTTTACAGAGCGGGTCATGAATTCCGAATTTATCATGCAGAAAATACAATAAGTGTATTTTCAGGCTGAATCTTTTTTTCTTCCGCTAGGTTTTGCCCTTACTCTGATGTATAGATCTCTCTCATTAGAAGAAATCTTTGTAGGAAAATTACAACTGTGGATACAACGTGTGTGCTGATCCAAAAATGTTTGACATACATGTACATGTACATGTACCAGTACGGTGCAGCTGATACTAAGTACATGAACGTGTCATAAAACCCAAAGTAAAAAATGCCAATGCATGTGGCAATCTGTGGGAAGAGACGTCATTTGAGAGAGACCTATAAGTACCTGAGAATTGCAAAAAAAAATCACAAGCTGGCTAGGGTGGGATTCGAACCCACCACTTCTTGTTTGCTAGTGCAGACATCTTTACTACTTGATCACTAAGTTTGGGGGGATCAGGTGGCTGGCTCAAATCCATGTCAGTGTAAGGGCCAATCCTGGTATAAAATTATTACATCCCCCGACATAAAGGTGAATTCATATCACTAGAAAGCCTTAACCAAAGGAGTGCATATGCACGTCTCTACATTATTTACACCGAGCAAAACGAAACTCTCATTTACTGATTGTGTGTTTAGGTTTTTAGTGTAGTGTTTACAAATACAGACACAGATGTGTGAATACCCGATGCAAACTTTGAAGATTATACACAAATATGGATGTGCTCAACAGGCGTCACTTTACACAGCAAGTCAGCGGTCTCGTAGTTTAATATACACTTACATGTAGCGCTGTGGATGAACCCAACCGCTACAATGCTGAAGACTGTCCAACAATTGAGTATACAGTATTCTCATTCTCTGGATTAATCTACATACATGTAATTCTCTATACGGAGATGATTGGCCAGTTTCATACTTAAAATTACTAATTTTTTTTTTTCTTTAAGGGGAGGAGACAGCCTTTAAAAAAAGGTATCTTACAGTGCATGTGAAATCACATGTATACATGTGAAATCTACCATAGAACACAAATGAGCCGAGTGGGTAACTGAGTCTAAAACCATCAAATGTTTCAGCAATGCATCGTGGGAAACTACTAATCCCATCATGCACTGCACCAATTCATAACTGGTCAGACATAACACTGTTTTTTTCCTTACACATACACCAGAATTACCAACCTTGATGACTAGCAGATCGATGGCGCGAGGGTCTTTGACGTGGGCGTTCTTCATGAACATCTCACGGAGCTTTTCTCGGCACTGCTTCACCGTAAGGTCCAGCTGGAATTGCCTCACTGTAAAGAAACAGAACAACAGATCCTTCCATGATATTTTTTTTTTAAATTAATCTTGTTGGCATCAGGGAGACATTAATTTTAACCTGGTTTGCTTTTCACGGACATATCTACACTGCACACTTAATGTTGTACATGTACAGTATAGCTAATTCAGTGCTGCCTGACGGCTCATAAAAAATCTACAAGCTTTCAATCAAAGGGGAATATACATTGTTTATAAATATATGTTGATAAAAAGCAAAGTGCCCCATGTCCATTTTTATTCTTCTAGCTGCTTTTTAAGGTGAAAACTCTTCTTTGTCATGACAATATACATATCTCCATGACAACTAAAGATATTATCCACTTTTTATAAACCATTCCCAAAGAAAGGAGCAGAGTTTAACCAATCTGTATCTTCTGAAATCCATCAGGAGGTTCGAAGGATTTTGCAAGATTGAGGAAGCTGGAGTGTGGGCACTATTTTCTTTACACAAGACTACTGAGTTGTGACTTTTGTAAGATTCAGTGAAACTTCAGGCAGAAGTGAAAAGGGACGTTAGGGTGGGAGCGTGTTGCTTCCTCATTTTATACTTCGAAAAGTGTCACAACTTTGGTTTAACTAGCGGGCAGCCATGTAAAACTAAGCACAGCATCTTGCTAGGCTAGGCTGACACACCTCTCTTTTTGAGTGCTTTGTACCTTGAACCCGTGGGAGGGGGGAAGGGGGGAAATGAATGTAACCATGGCTACAGGCACAAGCCACTAGCATCCGCAGCCACATGAACTACGGTAGGTAAATGTATATCCAGCCCTTGCCACAATTTTCAGGACACAGATTTATTTTGCGGACCCAGATCACAACCTCAAAAATTCAACCTTTTGCTACACTTCAGTGTCAACGGAACAGCCCTTGAAGGTAAACTTCACAGCGTGATATAGATATGACATATTGAAGCACGTTATTTCTTCAGAGATAACTCAATACTATCTGGGTCATTACTATACATACTGTGTATCGTTTAATTACGAGAGCGCTAACTTCCCATTCTCCGCACAGAGAAAATTTGATGCCATCATGGAATCCATGTTCATGCTTGTAGAACATTGGAAATCAGACAGAATAAATATCAAATAAGGTACTCTATTTGCAACAAGCATTGGGTACCGCTAAAATCCGATTTAAAGAGTCACTGCTAAATTATCTACAGAACATATGCACATGCATTTGCACTGTTTACACAGGGCAAAGTGAAGTGCTCATTAACTGATTGTAGATAAGTTTGAGTGCGTATTGACTTTGTTGACATATCGTTTTAGAATACAGATGCAGATATGGAAATAGCCGAACAAAAGCTGTCCAAAATTTCAGGCTTTCCATAGGTTTTCGCACAAACATGGCTGCACCCAGCAGGCATCACTTTGTACATGTACATGACTCAGTGCTCTAGTTTTTTGTAGCTGTATGGTCATTACTCACTGGAATAGGATCTTATCTTGTGTCAAGTACGAACCCAGTGGTAGACAAAGTCAGATGTCCTCTAATCTACCCTATTAAAATTGTTGATAATGCAACCTCCCAAAAGGTGATGACGCAAATGCGGTGTACCTTTGGAGTGCTAGTTTGGTAACATTCAAGCCACTGGGTGGTCTGGTGGTGGTCTGTGTAGACAGCATGGCGGGGGGGGGGGGAGGATAGTCTTGGTTTCAAGACGTAAGTGCTTGATAGCATACACTGCCCCCAACGACTCATAATTAGACTGTGTGCCAGCTCGCACTAAAGTAAGTAAAAACTAGTTGTGCGAGGGTGCTCTTCAACAGAAATAAAACAACTATCGATCACTGACTTCTTGGGCCAAGACGAGGCGAGGGGAAGCCCGCAATTTTTTCCAAATGCTCAGCTGGTGCACCAGCTTACAAAAGTCAATATTTACATTTGTGCTTGCTCCAATCTTCATGCCACTTCAAATGTTCATATTACAAAGCCACACGACTCGTGACTACCGGTCCCTCATTCAACTTGACCACACATGGATGAGTTGGCACTGCAAACTTTGCAAACTAGCTTTGCCCATGGCAATGGCCACAGAGGCTTTTTTGAGGCCAGGCCTAACTGACACAAAGTGGCTTTACAGGAGGGAAAATGTCACTTCAAATCCAATCCAATGAAGTTTTGGAATAAACACGAAGCTCCTTTTGTTGTCGTTGAAAAAATCCAATCTCACAACCTGAATAAATAAAGGAACTTAGTTACAGTATGTTTTTGTTTATATTCTTGTTGGCTTTTAATTTTTTTGCTTTGGGCTGGCTGTAGGACATCAGCATTAAAGGTGCAGCTGCATGTAATTTTGGACAGAGAATCTCAAGAGTATTACACTTCAACAGTGCTGCAATGGCAAATGTAAACCTCACTTCATGTGAAGGTTAGATATATCGATCGTGACACTTCTCCAAATAGAGTACCGAAGTGAATACGTCGTGCACACAATTAGTGTGTAAAAGGCATTAGCGCGAGAACCACTGTGTGAACCAACACGCGCGTGTACTCCATTTGTTTGCACTGCACTTTCTGGTTCACAGTGACGTCACACTTAGGTACTCTATACTACACTGTAGTTCTTCCATAAGGGATTTCAAATCCCTAAAAAATTGTACAGGGAATGACTTCTTCTTTGTACAATCCATACTTTGCACTTTTCAAGTAGTTATACATTTCACTGGATGTCTTCAAGCGGTGGACTGAAAGCAAAACAAAATCATGCATACAGGGAGGATGTTGAAGGTTTCACCCTCGCTACTGTATTGTCAAATTTTGGCTGATTCAGTACTTTTCATTATGAATGTCCTGTTCAAACTTGTTGAATTGAGGAACACAGGCCAAGGGTGATGGTGTTGGATTTTGTTGGAGTGGGGACACACATTCTGAATGTCCTGTTCAAACTTGTTGAATTGAGGAACACAGGCCAAGGGTGATGGTGTTGGATTTTGTTGGAGTGGGGACACACATTCTGAATGTCCTGTTCAAACTTGTTGAATTGAGGAACACAGGCCAAGGGTGATGGTGTTGGATTTTGTTTGAGTGGGGACACACATTCTGTGGAGTGACTGGCTAGTGGTACCATGGGTTGGACTGCGCTTGATTTTGTCAGGTTTGGTAGAGTACCATGCATGTCACCCCTATACTGCATAGGCTCAGCTACAAAAAATGACCCAAGCTTCAACAGAGGGCAAGTTAGATCTGCGACAATTTGTTAACCACTGGTCAGTTTTTCCTGGTGCCCAGTATATATTTCGTGCATAGGTTATCAGTCAAATTGACCACTGGTTGACAATTTGTAGCTGATTTAACTCATCCAGTGTTGACTTGCTGGCGCATTACTGGACAGCAAAAGTTGATTTTTTTTCTGGGCCATTTTCTTGTTTTTACTGATCGGAACTCGCCATCAAGCCGATGGTTCGGGATTACATGTACGTACATGGGTGCAGCGCGAGTGGATGATGCAAGGTTAGGGGATCCGGATATTTTTTGGAGAAGGATAAAAATAGGAGACTGATCATCAAAGTTAGGAGAATATTTTTCAGAATATTTTATCCTTCTAAAATACTCTCTAAAAATATCCTCCTAGCCGCAATGAGTTGTTTCAAATAAACTTTAATCCTTCTAAAAAATATCCTCCTAGCTGCGATGAGTTGTTTCAAATAAACTTTAATCCTTTTTTTATAACGGGTTTTGCTCTTACCCAACGTATGTATTAATAAACACTGTATGCTCAGTGCTTGTCGGAGAGCTTCCGAAAAAATTCACAAGCTTACTCGGGTAGGACTCGAACCCACGACCTCCTGCTTACTAGTACAGACGTCTTAACCACTCGACCACCGAGCTTGCCATGGTTGGCTGGCCGCTCTGAGTCAGGTGTAGCAGCGGGTACTGCAAACTACTGGTATTTCACTCTCAAATAAACAAATTTGTTCAGTGCTGTTTCTAGTTGAACAGTCTAGGTTAGGGTTAAGGATCTTCATGAAAAAACCAACAGCACTCGAGCCACTTGTGTTAAAAAACGTGAAATTAACCATCAGGACGCAAACCAAAATGCAATACACTGTACATGTAAATAGCACTGCTTGGTGTCAGTGACAGTCCATCCCCATTAATTACTATACTGTCTGTAGTCTCAAGCCTTCCTATGGCTGAGTCCATCCTAGGGGGCGCTCTTACAGTGTAGCAGTAAGTCTTCATGTTGCAATTACTGAGACCATTTGAAAATGTTTTGGAGAGTTGTTAATGATAGAATCACTGCGCAGTGTGCGCAGTGCACACAACCAAATGTCTCTTTCCATTATAAAAATTTTTAAAGTTCACAGACTCAAGAGAATGTAATTTGTGAACCGCTCTGTAAAAATGAGTCATAAGTCTCCAGAGCTGCTTTCGAGTTTTACTTTGTGTTAGATTGAGGAATCTGACCTCTTTCTTTTGATGTGGCACTCAGTTTGGTACGATGAAAATGGAAGTTGTGTAGATGTTAACACCTTGACGATGGGAATTTCTTCCCGAAAGCCGACTCCAAGAATTCCAGCCTCGCTTGGCCACGAAGGCCACCTGCCAAACCACAATGTCTTGGTTTGTGGCCCTATGCACGCTTTAAATTACACAGTGAAAAGGCTGATTGTTCGGTGGCATGCGGCTCTACTCACGCGTCCACATTCCCGTAGCCTCTTTTCAAAGTGGGGACTATTGTGAAGCTGGTAATTATGATGCAAATTCGGTCTTTTCATTTCTGGGCTACACACAAAGGCCAATCACCATATATACAAGAGCCAGGGTCTGCCTTCTTTCACTATGTTCCCTCGAGCGTGGGCCAAGAATAATAGCTGAAAAGCAGGCTGAGGATCTCAATTTTTACGATGGCTCTAGCCGCATCCCGGCATGAAGGGGTTGAAATGTTGAGGATTCCCATTGCAGAAACACTGTGCAAGATATTCAAAGGCATTTAACTCAAAAGTGGCTCTGGAGACATGTGACTCATTTTCACAGAGTGGGTCACATTTAGAGCTCAGCATAAGGTAAATTTCAGAAACAAATGACTCAGTAAAGAGCGGCATTCTCTGAACCTCCTCATTGTAAGCTACCAGTACTGGGAAAAATATTCTTAGCGCTTCTTTGCATTAGGTTATAATAGTGGCAGAATATATGACAGCAAAATTGCAACGTTGCAAAAGAAAGACAGCATTGGCCACCACTGTTGGATTACTTTGTTTCACTTGAACTTTCCTTTGTTATAACTCCTGGGGTGTTTGTGTTCTGACTTTTCAGACCCGTGGGTCAAAAAAAATTCAGCAGCATTAATAATGGCAATGTACTTGCAAATGTGTAGGACGTGTACAGCAGATTTCACGGCAGGGAAACGGCATGCCTGCCAACTAGCTTGGTCGTGAAATAGGTTTTTTCTCGAGAGGTCAGCGCATTGAGGCATCACGGCAAAGGCCACCCATAGCTGTTGGTATTACACCTGTAGGCCAATGCCTACCATCTGCGTCTGTGTTGGAAAGAGGTCCATACATGTATTGGACTATCACAAATGAAAGTCAATAAACACCAACTTGTTCCCTCCAACATGTACATATACATATCAGCATCCATCTTTGTAGGTAACATGAATGTCCAGCTGTGCAGCTGTGACATTTCAGTTTAGTTCCTCACCTAAATCTGGTGTGGATCTTGCCTGGGTTATTCTACATGTTTCTAGCTTGGGACAATACCTCCATGTTTTGCTGTTTTTTCCCCACTCTAAAAAGGTTTTCCTGTGTAAATTTTTTTCATTGACCAAAGTTGTCTCATGTTTTAACGGTATTCACGGAATATACTGGCGTGCAATTCTTTAATTGTAGTTCCTAAATAATTACTGATGTTAAGCTTAACGTGGATGTAACTGAGAAACCTCGTTTGGGTTTTATTCTAAGTTGTTATACAAGTAGCTCAGTGCAACAATATATTTCCATGATTTGTTGCTTCCCCTTATCCCTTTTAAAAATATTTCTCTTGTACAATTTTTTATTTAGTTTGTAACTGTCCTCGGTGCTTAAACAGTCCTTGTGGGACAGACTAGTGTGCAATCTTTAATTGTAGCTCAAAATAAACATTGATGCGAGCTCAACACGGATACAATTGATGCTCTTAAACTGTGTTTGTTTTCACAAGTATTTTAATAATATATCTAGCATTAATAATTTTTATCTTGCCAGGCCTCTTCAGGGTTGCTCCATTGTTTCTTCGGCCTGAGTCCTAAATCCCAACCTACCTTACCCTCTTTTTTTCACCCTCCCTTTGGTCTGATGTTTTTGTCATTTGTTTAGAAATCTGTATGTAGTGAATGTTTTGGTTGTTTTTGCCATGATGTGTAGTGTTGTTTGACATTTATTGATATGAACCTTTCCATCAACTTCTTATTGTGTCACAGATTTGAATTACAATAAAGGTACCCGGTATTTCAAACAACTCTTCCTTGCTAACCCCCCTAAAAATACAAGATATGCCATTCAATTTCACAGTCTCTATCTTTGAAATAAGGTCGGTGAACATAACGTCACTTGGTCCCCCTCATCGTCTCGACGGCTGTTCCATGTCAAGACATATGTATTACATGGACTGAGCCATACTACATGTACCAATGGGCTCTTCCAAAACTTTAGCAGCAGTTTAAATGTCTTGACATGGAACAGCCGTTGAAACGATAAGGGGGTCAAGGGACATAATGTTCACCGACCTTATTTCAAAGATGGCGACTGTGAGAGCGAGCCTGTTAGATTGAATGCGTAAAGGCAAAAAGACTGGAAAATACCGGAATAACGTGAGTGAATCATTCAATAAATGGTTTTAGAAAGCGGAAGGTCAAGAATCATGTTTGTGTGCAAAAGTAATTGCACCAATGATGATAAGTGGGTGCGCCGAAATGTTCAATACGCTGACACGAAATTGCATATACGGATGAGTGGCTAAGGATGGATCAGGAGAGAGAGTCCGTGCCACACCGGTGGGGCTATCATTGGTGTTGATGTGTCGAATTTCTTATCTCACCAAATGTGGAGATAGGCCTAAGGACGCATAGGAGTTACAGGCGTGAAATTGGCTCCTTGGGAAAGATAGAGGTGTTGCAAATTTTAGTTACAAAATTTTTCGCCCGATTTTGCACCATTTATACCCTGGACTCCCTCCATAACATGGGCCTACGGTTGGGGAGTCGGTGACCTGGGCTACATCATCCTCGCGTCGTAAATGTAGCCTAGGCCTACATTGTATTTTTGAGTGAAATTAACAGTCAATCAATCACCAAACCCTACCTGTTTCTGGTATTTCTCTATACCAGGCTTTATAAAGCTGAATAACCCGTCTTCTGGCTGCCTCTGGGTTGTTGGACATCATCGGTTTTACTTGTCTGGCAACCGCGGCTGCCCTTGATGCGTGAGACGCCATGTTGGTTTGGCTGTGGAACAGATATCGCTCACAGTCACACTCACAGCGCAAGGATCATATCCGCGCTGTGCACACTTTTTCGGCGCTCGGCGCGGCCAGGCCATGGCCCGGCTCTTGGAGAGATCACTGTTTTTGTTACGCCCCAACTATAGCAACAGTCCCAACTATAGTTGGGGCCTGTCCCAACTAGAGTGCTACAGTTGGGTCGGCCCAACTACAGCAAAGAGGTCCTGTGTGCATGATGTGCCCGGCATGTGCCAAAGTCATATTGTTTACAAATGTCATGTCATTGGTCATAGGTCTAAGTGCCACATTTTGGATGAATTGTGTCAAGTGTGAAACACATTGACTTGAATAATGTTGAGACATTTCCCACAGACATTGGTCAACAATAGTTGGGCCAGCCCAACTGCAGCACTACAGTTGGGACTGTCCCAACTATAGTTGGGACTGATGCTATAGTTGGGGCGTAACATTTTTAATGACACCCACAATGCACCACGAAGAATGGCGGCGACTTGAAAAGAGTCTTACAAATATGTTCTTAATTTTAATCGTTTAAGAATATTGCAACTCTGCAAGGTATTTACAACGTTTTTGTAATCTGTGGCTATGTGCTGAGAATAGATGAACCTTGTGAATCTTGAAAGATCGAGGGTTAATGATGAAACCCCACACTGAACTTGGGGATGGCGTTCAGGCCTTGCATGCATCTGCATGATCTGCTGTCGGTGTGTCCCGTCTGCCAGTGTCTGTTGCATGCTTACTAAGCATGACATGCGTAAGCCTTACTGCTGATACCGCATGAGTAATTTTGCACAATGGTAGAAAGGCATTGTGGGAAGGAAAAAGGAGCAAACAGTGCCCCCCTTTCCTTCCCACTGTGGGTGAAAGTCGGAACTTTTGGAACGTGTCAAAACTACCCGGAACCTGCACAGAAAACAATGATATCTTGATATAACCGAAACAAGTTAAATTCCACTACTAAACAGAAATTGTTGAGAAAGTATCTGAGAAACATCCCCTTTTTAAAAACTTCCTGGAGGGTAGTCTAAACAGAACATGGCTGACTTTCAACACTTGTGTTGTGTGATAATAATTGAAGAGTGAGAGACGTTGCAACAAAGAATTTCGACTTTTTTTGCAGACAAAGTCGTACCTGCTGTCTACCTCTGCTGTCGCTTATTAACATAACATTAATGTAATTATGTGAGTAGGGAAATACATGTATATATGGAATTTCAGTGAAGGTTCCGGGTCATTCCAACACGTTCCGACCGGTCCGATTTTTACCAAACGCCCCACTATGCCTTTCTACCATTGTGCAAAATTACTCTTGCAGTGTATCAGCGACAAGGTTTATACGTGTATAGGGCTACTCACGCTCTGTCATCAGACAGCATCGCAGCTCTCCTGTGCCCAAGTGTTATGTTCAAGGTTCATCAAATGCAGTAATTACACGAGAAATTAGGGAATACTCAGAACGATTACCCAGCTTTATTTCACTGTTTCCAACGTGGCAACATGTTTCCATCCCTTCTCCTGAGGGCGCCATTCATGTACCATGGACACAACATTCTCCCCTCCCCCCCAAAAAGAGAAACTGTAGTAAGCCTTGTCACAAATACTGCATGGGTGAATTTACACTGTGGTAGAAAGGCATTGTGGGACGGAAAAAGGAGTAAACATGGCGCACCTTTTTCCTTCCCACAATGCCTTTCTACCACTGTGCAAAATCACCCATGCAGTATTTGCGATAAGGATTATTATCAGCAATTAAGCAACAACAATCACTTAAATGAACTTTGTAAACACAGAAACAATATCTTTTTGGATTGAAATTGGCACAGTACTAGTCAAATCACATGCATGTATACATGAGTCCAGTCTGGCAGAATGTTCAATTGTTCAAATCAAATAAAATCAAGTAAATCAACACTTTCATGGTGTTTAGGTTTACCAGTACTCAAATTACATGTTGTAATCTTTTGCCCAAGTAGGTTTTCTGGTTTGTCTCTTGGGACGGCTCTGTGGTTTAAGTGTACTGGATTTCGTAGGGTTCCAGACCTTAATGTTTGTGAATTGTGAGTCATAGAAAGGTGTGTGGCATTCCATGTTCTGCCATCAAGTAGGTAAGTAGACGGACCTTTAGATCTGGTGTGGGGGTCCATAGTGGTTACAGCCCTTATGTACATGTCTCGGATTCTTGACACGTACATAGTCTATCTTCTGGAAACGTGGCTGTGCTGCACCATGCTTCTGGTCTGTGTACTGCTTGTAGTTCCGCTGTTGATGTTCCACTCTGCTGCAGATACCAGGTGATGTACATCGGTCAGTCTCTGTGGGCCGAATGTTCAGGTTCATAGTCATTGGCCGGTTATCTAGGAGTTCTGCTTGTGACTTGCCAGTAGTAGCATGTGGGGTTGCTCGATATGCTGTCAGTAGTTCCAGAGTTGGACCTTTCCAAGGTCTGTGTTCATGAGTTGCAATTTGGAGGGTTTGCTTGAAAACGTGATTAAATCGCTCAATGAGACCGTTTGCTTGCGGGTGGTACAGAGATGTGTGAATGTATTTTATTCCTTGTTGGCTTAAGTCGACTGAAGTCAGCAGAAATGAACTGTGTTCCAGTGTCCGAAAACAGTTCATTAGGAAGCCCTTCCCTCGCAAAAAGAGAGTCAAGCATGGAGCAGACAGACCATAAAGTAGCCTCAGCTGTAAAGGCAATTTCTGACCACTTAGTAGTCCATAACGACAATTGCGAATCGGCATGCATGAGGCTGGGTTGCTGATCATCAGATAGGTTGGGGGGGTGACAACTGTTCCTGAGCCACGTTGCTTTTGATTACCCCCATTTTGTATTTCAACAGTCAACAAAAAGTCGCCATGGATAGTCCAGAAGACAATACCACAGTGTTTCGAATGATGGGAGAGTTTAAGAACTACATTGCCAAAGACATAGGTAAGACATGCTGGTGTGATTTTTGTTGTGTTTTGTTTTTCTAATCTTGATTATAATATTCTTCCAACTTTAAAATTTGCAATATATTCAATTTGGAGATCTCCAAAAATGACGCTCTGACAAAGCGTGCTGAATATGGTGCTGTTGCTTGCATAGAAGGCTCAGTTTTTCAAAATGATTATGGTGACCCGAAATGACTGTGAGCAGTTTGTTGAAAGAAGCTTCTAAAAGCCATCAAATTAAATTCTTCAAGTGGTTGAATGAATAGACCGTGTTCGCAGGGTATCCAATTTCATTCGTATTCCTGAATGTATTATATACATTTGAAACCCTCAATGGGATCGTACCATGTGATTTTGAGGGTCGGAATGAAATCGTAGAAAAGAGTCTGGTTCTTTAAATTGAACGTTTTCAAATGAATACACCACATGCGCATTGGGGAATCTGACTGAAATTGGGTACCCTGCAAATATGGTTATTTGAAATGTTAAGCCCTCTGTGAACTTACAGCAGTTGCGTTGTTGACCCTGTGTCCCCCAAACTATGATGGGATTTAAAAAGAAACTCCCTGGGAACTACTGTGCTTGAAACCTTCTGGACCCTCCACAATCTATCGCTTTGCTGGAAACGAAACTTGCATCTTCTGTACTTGAGCATTAAAAGGGTATCTCCATAGCAAAGCAACAGTGGTTGGATTCTATTCCAGTCATCAACCCTACAAAATCCTACCAAATCCCATGTTGGATTTTGAAGGATTTGGGAAGGTGACCGTGAAAGGGTCCATGCAGTTTTCACCCTTGTACAAGTAAATGCAGTTTTTTGTTTCTTTCCAAAGGTATTATAATGCCTTTTTGGTTTAAATGCTAATTCAAATTTCCGTGTTCATGAACAAAATGTGCTCTCAGTTCAGGTAGAAAACTCCATGTTTCATTGATCTGAGCACCAAAGCTGCTGTAATGTTGATATTTTGACATTGAAAGTTTCCTTTTCTTCAGTGATTCATGGATTTGTGAGTACATGGCAATAAGCAAAAGAACAACCCTTTTGGGAAATGTTTTCAACAGGAAATTTGGGTGTTCACAATTTCAACAGAAGAGCCCACAAACTGAGCAGTGTTTTCCCTGATTGACATCACAGCAACAGCGCCCTCTGTCATTTTGAACAGCATCACTGACAAGTTTTAAAAAACTGCACTTTTCAATACACTTAACCTTGCAAAGATGCCAAATAGTTTTCATGCATCAGAGAAGAGTATAAAGCTACTCAAAAAGTTTCTCTCAGAAAACTTCATCACCTGGCTTCTTTAAGCCAAATAGTTATTTTACTCTCATAACTAACAATTATCTATGGTTTGTAGAGAGACATAAGAAAGACCAGCAGAATCGGGAGCGGGAGGGACAGCTGTTGTCAGCTCAGAGCCGCATTGCCAAGCTGGAGGCTGAGATGGATAGCCTGAAAGCCAACCACAAGAGGTCCAGGATGGAGTTTGAGAAAGATGTGGAGCGGGAACGCAACAACCGAGAGGTTTGTTTTGAGGAAGACTCTTGAGAGTGAACATGGAAAAAGACATTTATAGACACAACATTGACCTTACACATGCATGTGGGGTCGTTCTGTTAGTTCAAGGTCCAGGCGTGTGACTTTCTGTATCCCTGTTACACCTGACCTGTGTAATTGGACATGGAAATCTCACCGAAATTGACTGCAAAGTATTTAAATTGCTTGGCGGGTAATTTACATCAATTAATTGCTCTTGGAAATGAGAGAATGTGTTGAGATTTGAAGCTTTTCATGGTGAAAGTGGCAAGTTAAGTAAACGGTTTGTGTCAGCGCCACGCTAAATAGCTCTCATCCTCTACTCAAAAAAGAGATATTTTGCATGGTGCTACTGGGAAAATTTGACTTGAAAAGAATGAGTTTATAACTGACAAAGTCATATATCAGATGCAACAGGGACACCCAAAAAAATATAGAGTAACTTGTGTGTTGTATGTTTCTTGAAGGTTGAGCATGCATCACTTTATTAATGGAGTTTCAAGACTAGTTACAACATATAGTTTGTGATATTACTTGCCTGAAGTCGACATGTGATCTGAATGTAGTGATGGAGACTTTGTCTAGATGTGCAAGACCTGGTCACTGGTTTGATTATCGCAAATCGGACAGGTTAAAAAAATCACCCTGAAAAGAAATCTTACTGGTTCACCATCTCAGTTCACACTGTGTCTGCCATGGGGACTTGATGAAGGTACAGTGCCATAGAGGCAGTTATCCCATTAGTGTTTGACCTCTGTCTTGGTCAAGGAATAACCCAGTTAGTGCCAAAGCATTGATGTGAGCAAACCTACCTTTTTAAAATTTTTTCGTCCCTGCAAAATGTTTCAGGATCGGATCAGCCCTTTCTGTTTAGATAAACACCACGAGCATCATCAGTTTGTCTGGTCTCCTGCTGATAAAGAAATGCTTATGCCTTTTGACTGTTTTGGTTGGCACTGATAAAATAGAGGGGGGCTACATTGTACATTCAGTGAGTCCGGTTTGCTCTCTGTAAATCTAGAATTAACCAATTCTGTTGTAAATCTGGTCCGAACTGCAACAAGAGAGAGCATGCTTTGAAAAAGTAACAACGGTCCTTTGATGGGAACTCACTAGGCTTGTGCACGTTAAAGCTCTTGCGCTTTTGGCTCTGAAAATGCTCAGAACCCGGGATGGATTTCTGTTTGAATGTATGGTGTTTGCATGTGCATCACACTGTCCTCTTTGCCGGTGAGGGTCAGCCTCAACTCGAGACGGATGGTGGAAAGACAGTGAGGGAAATTCTCCCCAATCTGTGTCTCAGGAAGAGTTCACCAAGGTGGAGGAGTTGAAGAAGCAGCTGGAGTTTGCCGTCAAGCAGGAGCAGCGGTGCCGTAAGGAGCTGGAAGAGACCCGCCAGGCTAAGACCGACATGAAGGCCAATTACGAGGCCACCATCCAGGACCTGAGACAACAGAAACTCAAGCTGGAAACCACACTGCAAGATGTGAGTTTGTCTCTTATTGAGGTTGTTCAGATTTTGGAAAATTCATCGTATCTAGTGCACCTCAACCCCAATCTCCTTCAAATTCCACTAAGAGGTGGGGGGGTGGTTTCCTGCACAGTGAAGGATAATGGAGGAGTCCGGCAAATTCTTTAGATATAATGCTACGGGTTGAGAATTAATTTTTATAGGAGATCTCTGTAAATATTGTTGGCAATAATTGTTTGCTTTGCACTATCTGTGCCATTTGCCCTATGCATGAGTCGGCCATATTGAGTTGAAAGTGAGTTTATCTTTTCATTTTAGGAACCTGAAAATAGAATTAAGGCAATAAAATGAAACTTCATTACAAATTAATGCCACTTTATGCTGATGCTTAAGTTGAAATTTTGAATTAATTATATCTACGTTTTAAACCACATTTAAAAAAAGAAAATGAAATTGAGATTGGTACTCTGAAAAGTCTGGCACCACCCTAGTTAACAAATTACACTGAATAAGATTGATTCAGGAAACATGATCAAAATGGAATCCACATAAAGAAGGTCTGTTTACACACATTACAGCACTGAGAAGCCTTTAAAAAGAAAAAAAAGTTTCATGCATGGCAAAAATTCCAGCTCGAACCATATGTTCCAAAACCAGACCAGACCCAACACAAAACACAACTAAATCCGAAAGAAAAAACATTGATACTTTTGGGTCCTTGTGTAGAATTGGACATTGATCACTCCTGTGATGCACTGCCTTATCTGTGCCAGTAGCAAGGTCCATTGAATTTTCCAGATTGCATCTAAGGAATTTGGAAGGGAACCTCGAAGGGTCAAAACTTAAACTCTGTCAAGCCTTTTGCTTCCCTCTCACAAAAACTTTCAGAATCTGGAGGCCTTTAGTGTATTAGACAGTAATTCTCTGTATTTTTTATGGTATCTTTTGCCACAGCACCAGATGTCAAGTCGCATGCACATCTCCCGATTGTCAAATGAATTAACAAAGTAAGTATAGAAGATTTAATTCAAAACAGATTTTGAAATTTCAGAGATTCGGAAAGGAATACTCTCAGTTCAGTGAATGTGTTCATGCTAGTAATGGTACATTGTAACTACCACAAGCCACACTTTTATGTCTTATACTCCCATTGATTGGAAGTGTGTACCATATAACACCACACATTATTTAAAAATACAGAGGGCGTGCAATAGGTTATCCCATTCGTTATACTTGTAGTATGATTGGAAATCTATTAGTTAAAAACCAGTGTTGTAGTCAGACCTCTTAAGCCATCATAAGACTCCCAGAAACCAACACAATACAAAGTTGAGGCCTCCAAAAGCATTCCTTTGCTATTGTACACCCTGTTAATTGTGACTGGTCTTGTGACTAGTCTTGTGGCAGGTTTTGTGACTGGTCTTGCGAATGGTCTTGTGACTGGTCCTGTGACTGGTCTTGCGACTGGTCTTGTGACTGGTCTTGTGACTGGTCTTGTGACTAGTCTTGTGGCAGTTTTTGTGACTGGTCTTGCGACTGGTCTTGTGACTGGTCTTGTGACTGGTCTTGTGACTGGTCTTG